CTGGGACTATAATCTTGTCTGTTCCATTAGTGATGCCATTGGCGCTCTGTTTCACAAGATGGTTTAGAGAATCGCTAAGCCCAAGCTAATGATGTTCCTTGTCACAGCTGAAGTAACTCTACAGCTGTGGACTCAACTTGGCTATTTTCTCATTTGCTGGGAAAATGTGTGTGACTGTGTAAACCTGTCTATAGATCTACCCTGGCTACTAATCCATTTTATAAAACTAGTGGAAGAGCTATCGCAAAGAATTTTCACTCTGGTAGCAAATCTCAGAAGTAAAAAATCAAGTCACAAAGGTGAAGGGGTTGGTTCTTTTGGGTTTTTCCCTTCTTATTCCATCAACAGTAATATTCCACCTCTTCACCCTGCTTCCAAACAATGTTCGTGAGTAGTTTCAGAGGACTCTGCTGACTGCAAGTTCTATAATATTAAAACATTGTATTTTTAGATTTTACTTCTTGTATGCAAGACTGGACACCTTACATACAGAGCTTAATAGAATTATAGAGGTAAAAGAGTGAACAACCTTCTGCTTATGGAGCATACACTCCTTAATTGATTTTGTAAATAAACTATACAAGTAGAAAGCTGGGGAAGGAACATCTAATCAGTGGTGCCTTGAACTAGGCTTTGAGGAAATGGGTTTGTTTCCTGACTGTCATGGTTTAACCCCAGCCGGCAACTAAGCCCCACGCAGCTGCTCGCTCACTCCCCCCCAGTGGGATGGGGGAGAGAATCGGAAGGGTAAAAGTGAGAAAACTCGTGGGTTGAGATAAAGACAGTTTAATAGGTAAAGCAAAAGCCGTGCCCGCAAGCAAAGCAAAACAAGGAATTAATTCACTACTTCCCATCGGCAGGCAGGTGTTCAGCCATCTCCAGGAAAGCAGGGCTCCATCACGCATAATGGTTACTTGGGAAGACAAACGCCATCACTCCAAATGTCCCCCCCCTTCCTTCTTCTTCCCCCAGCTTTATACGCTGAGCATGATGTCATATGGTGTGGAATATCCCTTGGTCAGTTGGGGTCAGCTGTCCCAGCTGTGTCCCCTCCCAACTTCTTGTGCACCCCCAGCCTGCTCGCTGGTGGGGTGGTGTGAGGAGCAGAAAAGGCCTTGACTCTGTGTAAGCACTGCTCAGCAGTAACTAAAACATCCCTGTGTTATCAACGCTGCTGCTGCCTTCCCGTGTAATCATGCAACTTTGTACTCCTCTCAACTGTTTTTTGCTTCCAGCTCTAGGTTTGAGGAGGTGAGGATTTGTTTTTTTTCCTTATTTGATGAAAGCCCTTTCTACAGTGTTCTGAAATACTGCTCAGTACCACAGGAACTTAGTCTCAACTGAAATCTTTATGGCCTTGCCACTGTACAATTAAATATTTATTGTAGCCTGTATTTTCTGTTACATGATCTTAGGTGCCCCAAAACAGTGGAAAACTTCTGTGTGCACAGCAGAAATGGTTATTACAATGGACACATATTTCACCGTATCATCAAGGTAACTTGTAAAAAGTTAATTTTTCGTTGGTTTAGATAATGTACCTTTGTGTCCTCTCTGTTAACCCATTCATTTCCCTTTTGCACAAAGGATTTCTGGAATAGCTTCAGAGTTCCCCGTAAAGTCTGAACAATTCCAAGGTTCTAAACAGCTTTATCACTTACTGAAGTTGTTTAATAGTTGTTCTGTTAATTTTTCGTTGGTTTAGATAATGTACCTTTGTGTCCTCTCTGTTAACCCATTCATTTCCCTTTTGCACAAAGGATTTCTGGAATAGCTTCAGAGTTCCCCGTAAAGTCTGAACAATTCCAAGGTTCTAAACAGCTTTATCACTTACTGAAGTTGTTTAATAGTTGTTCTGCTGTCAGAGTTTTCCCGGATCTTTGCCGGCGGCGGAGCGGGAGTCGCGAATCCGGAGTAATGATAGATCCCAATATGGGTATGGTCATCCTCCTTTATTTAGACTTACAACAGGGTTTATATAGTTATGTGCCACAGACACAAGCTTCATAACAACCCACAATTGGTTAACTGCAGTCGTTCACGCACTCGGACATGCGCTTCATAACAACTTATAATTGGCTAACCACAGTCGTTCACACGCTCGGAGCGCGCTTCATAACAACTTGTTCGGCACTAGATCGTGCCCCTGCTGTATTAGCCACCCTTCCACAATTCCCCCTTCTTGTTTTTGAGCAACCCATACTTGATTAACAACTTTCATAAGTGCTTTTCTTATACAGCTAAAAATTATACAAAAGCATATACCTATTATTAAGATAACAATTAAAATGCGTAAGCTTTCTTTTAACAAACTTATTATCCATGAAGGCAGGTTCCCAAACATATTTTTAAGCCAGGTATCCAAAAATCCCTGATCTTGTTGAATCTTCCTGGCGTGGTCCCTTAACCATTGCAATTGTTTGTGGATTGACTCTCTGTGGCCAGATAGATTCATACAACACATTCCTTCAAAGTCCTCACACCCATGTCCTTGTGCTAATAATAAAAAGTCGATAGCAGCTCTATTTTGTAAAATTGTATGGCGCAAGCTATCCTGATCTTCAAGTAAGCTTTCAATAACCTCTGTTGTTATTTTAGCCTGCTTTT